GGGGTTGTGGAGAAGACATCTTTTACCCAAAAAAACACCCATCCATTTTTGTCTATTGCTCATGTCAACGGGGACAAGGACATTGTACAGTGATACTATGTTGGGGATCTCAGAAAGGAAGGAGATAGCTAAACCACTAATTTTTTTTCTTTTTACAAAAACCACCAAGCTAATACAAACTCGAAACAAGAAGGAACAAAGAATAAATCAAAATACAGTTTGCAATCTGTATTTTGAGGTGCGGCCCTTCCCCGGCCCCTGCGTGAACGCGGGATGCTTCGTGCACCGAGTTGCCCTTTACAGTTTGCATTCTATTTAACTTTTTCAAATAAATATTTCTAGGTTAACAGCTCTCGCAGTGAAGTTTCATCAATGAATTAGCTATAACATAGCAAGCATTCAAATTACAAAATGCTAACTGTCTAGGAATATGGTAAAATGCCAAAATCTTAATCTGATTCAACAAATCACTAATAGTTCCATTTATGGAGAATTGGAACGCATTCAACTAATTTATGAAAAGAAAGAACGCTTTAGAAAAGCTTGTACCAGGACTGAACATCTTTCTGAGTGCCGAAGAAACTCATGGCCTAAACCAAAACCTCGGTGTGCCCCTTCAAGTAGACCAGGCAGATCAGCAACGACCACAGTAGCATCATAATCAAATGAAACTACGCCCAAATTTGGTAGCAAAGTGGTAAAGGGGTAATTCGCAATAGCTGGCTGAGCAGCACTTATAACACTGAGAAATGTACTCTTCCCTGCATTTGGAGCTCCTACTATACCGACATCAGCGACCAACTTAAGCTCCAATTCTAACCACCTGCTCAATAGGACTGTTACTTGTAAGATACAAAATGAAATATGAAAGAAATGTGACCAAGATATATTTCTACTCAAGCTTATTTGGCATTCAAAATTAAGGATGAGAGCTCAATAGATCCACCAAACGAAAACTACATTCTAATATGCTTTACAGTTAGATGCTGAATGTACCCAAAAGATGCAATAAAAATCAAAGTCTAAAGAACAGAAACGATTATCATTAAAGATACTCACATCTCTGCACCTTCTTCACCATTCTCTGCGATCTTGGGCACCCTATTCGACCCTGTCTTAAAAGAGGCATTCCCTCTCCCACCTCTTCCACCGGGCAGCAGCAACGCCCTCTGTCCCGGATGCAACAATTCGAAAAGTACATCCCCTTGAATTCCACCCTCCCCAGCCTTCCTAAGAACCGTACCAGGTGGCACATTCACCACCACATCCTCACCTTTCGCACCGAATTGTTTCTTTCCATGACCATGCCCTCCTCTCCCAGCTTTAAGATGCACACTTTTCCTAAATGGCAACAACGAATTCATCGACCCGTCTACCTCCACATACACATTCCCACCCCTCCCTCCATCACCACCAGATGGTCCGCCCAATGGCACAAACTTCTCCCTCCTAAATGCCACCACCCCATTCCCTCCATCCCCTGCTTTTACAAATATTTTCGCCCTATCGAAACACCTCATTACTGCTGGAACCCCTTTCTCTTTCTCCATTATATCACTCCCCTCCCCTTCAAACACATCACCACCCTCAAAAATAGAACCTTCCATTTCACTATCCACATCATCAAAATCATCATTAACCTCGTACAACTCGAATTTCCCACTACCCTCAAACACCCCACTTCTAGAACCTTCCATTTCACCACCCACATCATCATCTTCATCAGAATCATCCTCAAAATCATCATCATTAACCTCGTACAGCTCGAATTTCCCATAATCAAACTTTAAATTCTCCGAATTTTCAACATCATCAACCGAATCCTTTATTTTTTGGTGAAGATTCTTAGCTGGGGTGGAGGAGATAGTTGATTCAGATAGCGTAATTTCAGCTGAACTGTGAAGGGGTGGAAGAACAAAATCATCTTTGGGGGGTAGGCGAGTGTAGGTGGTGGCAGTATTACCGGCGGCGGTGGTAATTGGCGGGGGCGGCCTAAACTCGCCGGATTTGAGCTGACGGCGGTTGGGATTTTGCCTTCTTCTGGTTGTGTTCGTAGACACGCGCTTTGGATTGGTTCTATTGCGACTGGGATTGGTATTGGGTCGTGCTTGGCAGTGAGGAGAGAAAGTTGATGCAGTTGTAGTGAACAAAGAGAAAGCCATGGATGGCTACGGCGAAGAGCTCAAAAAAAGTATTATCCGTTTGGGCGGGTGTTTTTAAGAAATTGATATTATATTTTTCTTTGCATAATTGCTGAAAAGGTAATTAATGTTATGAAATGTGATTTTTGTTTAGGAAGTTTTGTATTTTATATATGTTGTCTATATATGTACGGGTTATATGGTTGTATGTCTTTTTGGCTTGGTTTAGGCTTTCTTTGTAGGTGTTTATCTGTGGTGGTAGGAATATTTCTTTGTAACAATATAGAACAAGAAAAAAACAAGCTAAGAGATTAAAAAGAGATAGAGATTTTTATTTCTTTTTCAATTGTATGTATTTTTTTATCTATTAAAAAGCCTTTATATAGGCACGAAAACTAAAGAAAAATATGTCATTGAATATGTCATTAAGCATTTGAGAAGATCACGGAGGAAGAGTAGACATCCACCATAATTTGATTTTTCTTATAACACTTTCCCTTGGATGCCCATAGATAATGTGCCTCGTTAAAACCTTATTAGGAAAAAATCCAATGGAAAAAAAATCCTAGTGAAGGAAAAAGAGTACACATGTTTAGAAATACGCCTTTTGGTTGCCTCGTTAAAAACCTTGCAGGGAAAACCCAGTGGTACAAAATCTTGTAAGGGAAAAAGAATACAACGCGTATTAGCTCCCCCTGATGAGAGCATCAATTCACATCCTTGAGCCTTCGCATCTTAATCTTGTACACTAGTTTCTTGAAGGTTGACGTCGGTAAAGATTTGGTGAACAATTTAGTCATATTATCACTTGAACGGATCTGTTGCACGTTGATATCACCATTCTTTTGAAGATCATGTGTGAAAAATAACTCTGGTGAAATTTGCTTTGTCATATCCCCTTTTATGAATCCTCCCTTCAATTAGGCTATGCATGCTGCATTGTCTTCATACAAAATTGTGGGTAGTTTGTCACACAAACCGCATTTGTCTCGAATAAGGTGTATTATAGACCTCAACCATACACATTCTCGACTTGCTTCATGAGTAGCAATTATCTCAGCATGATTAGATGAAGTAGCCACGACAGATTGCTTAGTCGATCGCCAAGATATGGCAGTGCCTCCATATGTAAACACATAGCCTGTTTGAGATCGAGTCTTGTGTGTGTCAGATAAATACTCAGCATCAATATAACTAACAAGATCGGGACTGCAATCATTGCCATAAAATAATCTCATATCGGTAGTCCCTTTTAGATACCGCAATATGTGTTTGATTCCATTCCAATGTCTCCTTGTAGGAGCAGAGCTATATCTTGTTAAGATATTAACTGAAAAAGTTATGTCACACCTTGTAATGTTAGAAAGATACATTAGTGCACAAATTGCACTAATATATAGTACTTCGGGACCAATAAGCTCTTCATTATTTTCATGAGGTCGGAATGGATGTGCTTTATCCATATAGAATCGCTTTAAAATATTTTTAGTATATGCTGATTGATGGACAAAAATTTCATCTTTCATATACTCAATTTGTAGACCAAGACAAAATTTTATTTTTCCAAGATCTTTCATTTTAAATTCTTTCTTTAAATAGTCTACTGCTTTAAGAAGCTCTACTTCTTTAGGAAGCTCCCTAGGAGTTCCAATGATATTTAAATTATCAACATACACGGTGATTATAACAAATTTAGATCCAAATTTTTTTATAAAAACACAAGGACAAATTGAATCATTCATATACCCTTCTTTCAACAGGTACTCACTCAGGCGATTATACCACATGCGCTCTGATTGTTTCAATCCGTATAAGGATTTTTGAAGCTTTATTTAATAAATTTCTTGAAAACCTTAATATGCTTCAGAACAATTTAAATCCTTCAATGATTTCCATTATACGCATATCACGTTTTTCTTGTATTGTCAGATTAAAACCTGAAATGGCGACATCCACCACAGGAGAACATGTCTCTATATAATCAACGCCAGGATATTTATAAATCTTCTTGTGACACAAGTCGTCTTTATGTCTATCGACTTGACCTTTTTTTTCGCACAAGAACACATTTATACCTCCACTGGCTTTATACTTTCAGGTGTTGGGACTATCTATCCAACTTCATATTTTTCAGGTGAAATTAATTTTCATTGCGTATTTTTTATTTGGCCAATCATTTATCTGTCCAAATTTCATGACAGATTTAAGCTCAAGATCTTCATCAATATTAATAATTTTGAGCGCTACATTATATTAACAATATCGTCGACGATCATTTTATATCAGTTCTACTATTACCCAATAAAGACATAACTTATTGAGATCTCTTTATCTTATTATTTTTTTGTACCTGAGCCTCTCCCATGAGGTCTTATGAAGTGTTATGTCGTGGTGCTCTTCTAGAGCACTTGCCTCCTTATTATGACCATATTGAACATTTGCTTCTCTCATTTTTCAAGGAGTTTTATCTTTGGAACCGATTAGTCTATTATGCGTCATGCATGCCATAGACTCTATTCATTATGAACTTTATTTTATTTTGAGCATTAGCAGCTGAATATGACATTTAGCTTTGGGTCAGAAAATACGACTGCAATAATTTGCAAATGAATTATCACTTGAACTTCAAGTTCACATTTTCTCGTACGAGGATCTAGATGCACTCATAATAATTTATTACAGGCATTACTTTTTCAGCTGCCCATTTTCTCCCCCTATTGTTGGGATCACCAACACATATCCCTAGCCTTATTTGGGGATCCATCTTTGTGCATTGTGGTGGAACAATTAAATCATATAGCACATTCATATTTCTAGATGGAAATTATTTGGTTCCTGACCCTGAACCGATTTATAATAATTTGAGCAATCAATCTTGCAAAAGCCAAACTGCAAGTTGATAACAAATGCACATGTGACCATAGAATAGACGCATCTATTAAAATCATATAATAGTAAACGGTCCACATGGAATGTGACTAGGCCCATATATTTATCACATTTTATTCGTTCCGGAAATCAAGGGATTCAATCCCAACCGTAACTGGTATATCATGAGAATAAGCAGCACAAGAGAATTCTTGAAGAATCTTATATTTCTTCA